CTCGTACATACAGCAATGAAGCGCGTCAATGACTGGGCAAGTACAACTCAGACCCAACTTGCAGACATATACCTTGCCAATGATTTTTGAGAAGACAAAGGCAGTGGACTTATATACTGTGACTCGCAGAGTGCACTCCTGGCATTGAACGCACATAGTAGTGACACCCAGAAAATAGTCAATGATATTCGAATTATTGTGCCAAAGAAAACAGATTTGAAATTAAATTCCTTTGGATACCATCACATGTTGGCATCTCAAGGCATGACACTGTTGATATGCTTGCTAACACAGCCTGCAGAAAACCAGTGGTTGAAATTGATATGGGTGTTTCATTAGCAGCGACAAAGAGAATACTTAAACAAATATCTAATGAAAATCTCACCGATCTAACAAATTCACAAAGACCTGAAAGTTGTAGCATTAAATATTATGATAGATATCGTGAGGAGACATTCACATATGGGACTAATAGAACAAGAACCCGGCAATGTGATGTTATAGTGGCCAGAATACGCCTGGGATATAGACGTATCTGGCAGCTTTATCAAAACCCAAATGTCGAGTTCACAATGTGTCAACTTTGTGAAAGAGAAAACATGCACTCTCTTGAACATTATATTGTAGAATGTCCCATATTGACTGACTTTCGCCCTCCTGGGCTGAGGTATGCTGAACTCTGTAACTACTACATGAATACTGGAACACTTGATGATATATTGGACTTGTACCCAAGATTGACCATGTAATTTATCAACTATACAATGTTTGTATGTGACGTAACTATATAACCTGAGCTTGTAAAGCACCTTCATCACCTTCAGTGGTTAAGTGCTTAATGACACACTAGTTTCTTTATCAGCTACCTCACCCTCTCAGGGTAACTAAAAGCCATAGCCGGTCCTACTTGGAAGTTTTGTTCTCAGTAGCTGAATCTAAAACACGAACAACAAATCTCAGAGTAGGAGAGTCATAAATGTATGTGTGTGTATGTGTGCATTTATGTATGTATGTATATGTATGTTTGTGTATAAAGTATATGTGGAAGCTGATCAGAATTACATTTCACCTTTGTAAATGCACATTAATGACACTATGTAAAGAACACATCGACCACTTTATGTAGGGCAGACATAACTCTGTGTATCTATGTATTTATGTCTGTAGGTTAACTTAGCATTTTAAAAGCACTACAATCACCTTCTGTGGTTGATTGTTCAATAAACCCCTGAACTATATGTTTAACAGATCTCTAACCCTGTCCATGGAGGACAGAAGAAAATGTATATATGCTGGTTAGCATTGTAAATGTCTGGCCACGTCTGTGGTATCACAAGGCGCAGTGTGGTCACAATGCGACCCAAATGTCTTATGAGGACATAAACCTACCAACAGTGGTGTAGCTCAACATAAACCTACCAACAGTGGTGTAACCCAACATAAACCTACCAACAGTGGTGTAGCCCAACATAAACCTACCAACAGTGGTGTAGCCCAACATAAACCTACCAACAGTGGTGTAGCCCAACATAAACCTACCAGCAGTGGTGTAGCCCAACATAAACCTACCAACAGTGGTGTAGCCCAACATAAACCTACCAACAGTGGTGTAGCTCAACATAAACCTACCAACAGTGGTGTAGCCCAACATAAACCTACCAACAGTGGTGTAGCCCAACATAAACCTACCAACAGTGGTGTAGCCCAACATAAACCTACCAACAGTGGTGTAGCCCAACATAAACCTACCAACAGTGGTGTAGCTCAACATAAACCTACCAACAGTGGTGTAACCCAACATAAACCTACCAACAGTGGTGTAGCCCAACATAAACCTACCAACAGTGGTGTAGCTCAACATAAACCTACCAACAGTGGTGTAGCCCAACATAAACCTACCAACAGTGGTGTAGCCCAACATAAACCTACCAACAGTGGTGTAGCCCAACATAAACCTACCAACAGTGGTGTAGCCCAACATAAACCTACCAACAGTGGTGTAACCCAACATAAACCTACCAACAGTGGTGTAGCCCAACATAAACCTACCAACAGTGGTGTAGCTCAACATAAACCTACCAACAGTGGTGTAGCTCAACATACACCAACCAACAGTGGTGTAGCCCAATATAAACCTACCAACAGTGGTGTAGCCCAACATAAACCTACCAACAGTGGTGTAGCCCAACATAAACCTACCAACAGTGGTGTAACCCAACATAAACCTACCAACAGTGGTGTAGCCCAACATAAACCTACCAACAGTGGTGTAGCTCAACATAAACCTACCAACAGTGGTGTAGCCCAACATAAACCTACCAACAGTGGTGTAGCCCAACATAAACCTACCAACAGTGGTGTAACCCAACATAAACCTACCAACAGTGGTGTAGCCCAACATAAACCTACCAACAGTGGTGTAGCCCAACATAAACCTACCAACAGTGGTGTAACCCAACATAAACCTACCAACAGTGGTGTAGCTCAACATAAACCTACCAACAGTGGTGTAGCCCAACATAAACCTACCAACAGTGGTGTAGCCCAACATAAACCTACCAACAGTGGTGTAGCTCAACATAAACCTACCAACAGTGGTGTAACCCAACATAAACCTACCAACAGTGGTGTAGCCCAACATAAACCTACCAACAGTGGTGTAACCCAACATAAACCTACCAACAGTGGTGTAGCCCAACATAAACCTACCAACAGTGGTGTAACCCAACATAAACCTACCAACAGTGGTGTAGCCCAACATAAACCTACCAACAGTGGTGTAGCTCAACATAAACCTACCAACAGTGGTGTAACCCAACATAAACCTACCAACAGTGGTGTAGCCCAATATAAACCTACCAACAGTGGTGTAGCCCAACATAAACCTACCAACAGTGGTGTAGCCCAACATAAACCTACCAACAGTGGTGTAACCCAACATAAACCTACCAACAGTGGTGTAGCCCAACATAAACCTACCAACAGTGGTGTAGCTCAACATAAACCTACCAACAGTGGTGTAACCCAACATAAACCTACCAACAGTGGTGTAGCCCAACATAAACCTACCAACAGTGGTGTAGCTCAACATAAACCTACCAACAGTGGTGTAACCCAACATAAACCTACCAACAGTGGTGTAGCCCAACATAAACCTACCAACAGTGGTGTAGCCCAACATAAACCTACCAACAGTGGTGTAACCCAACATAAACCTACCAACAGTGGTGTAGCCCAACATAAACCTACCAACAGTGGTGTAGCTCAACATAAACCTACCAACAGTGGTGTAACCCAACATAAACCTACCAACAGTGGTGTAGCCCAACATAAACCTACCAACAGTGGTGTAGCTCAACATAAACCTACCAACAGTGGTGTAACCCAACATAAACCTACCAACAGTGGTGTAGCCCAACATAAACCTACCAACAGTGGTGTAGCTCAACATAAACCTACCAACAGTGGTGTAGCCCAACATAAACCTACCAACAGTGGTGTAACCCAACATAAACCTACCAACAGTGGTGTAGCCCAACATAAACCTACCACAGTGGTGTAGCCCAACATAAACCTACCAACAGTGGTGTAGCCCATACATAAACCTACCAACAGTGGTGTAGCCCAACATAAACCTACCAACAGTGGTGTAGCTCAACATAAACCTACCAACAGTGGTGTAACCCAACATAAACCTACCAACAGTGGTGTAGCCCAACATAAACCTACCAACAGTAGTGTAGCCCAACATAAACCTACCAACAGTGGTGTAGCCCAACATAAACCTACCAACAGTGGTGTAGCCCAACATAAACCTACCAACAGTGGTGTAGCTCAACATAAACCTACCAACAGTGGTGTAGCCCAACATAAACCTACCAACAGTGGTGTAACCCAACATAAACCTACCAACAGTGGTGTAGCCCAACATAAACCTACCAACAGTGGTGTAGCTCAACATAAACCTACCAACAGTGGTGTAACCCAACATAAACCTACCAACAGTGGTGTAGCCCAACATAAACCTACCAACAGTAGTGTAGCCCAACATAAACCTACCAACAGTGGTGTAGCCCAACATAAACCTACCAACAGTGGTGTAGCCCAACATAAACCTACCAAGAGTGGTGTAGCCCAACATAAACCTACCAACAGTGGTGTAGCCCAACATAAATCTACCAACAGTGGTGTAGCCCAACATAAACCTACCAACAGTGGTGTAGCCCAACATAAATCTACCAACAGTGGTGTAGCCCAACATAAACCTACCATTATTGTGTTGATAACATCGTAACAATAGGCCTATATATCTAACACATTGTTAGGATATTTTTTTGACGAATGAAAGCAAATACAAAAATTGGATATTTCCTAATGTATTACGTCTTTCAATTTACAAGTAAGAGGAAGTTTTAAACAATTTATATAAACAATATAGTATTGAATGAACCCCTTTACTGTATCACAGTGAAAGAAGCGAACATTTAACACATTATACATAATACAGACTATTTTATAAAATGAACAAGTTATTTTACAAAAATCTTTGATTATCCATAATTAAATAGTAGGCTTATTATTGTTACATATTGTAACTACTACAGTTACAATATGCCATTCACCAATTTAACATTTGGATGATTCTGAAAGTCCAGATCATTTTTGTTTTTGATTTATTATGCTAAAGTTAATACAAAGGAAATAAATGTACAGTTACAGACACGATTGTGTATCTTATTACTAGGCTCCTGCACTTCTCGAGTATGACACTTACAATATTATTTTATATACAAAATATACATCGGAACATGTTAAATTGGTTACTTAGTAAGTAAACTAATACGCTATGCGTATTAGTTTGCCCGAAACGCTATGTGTATTAGTGGCTTTAGGTATTGTATATACTAGCTCTATCTATAAATACAACATTATGTTTGTAAATCATCTGTGTGTGTACTTTTCCTGAATACAAATTTGAATTTGAAGTAGGAGTACCGCACCTGTCACACATTGTACACATTATACAAGGGCAGCACTTGCACACTGTGTATGTTAGGAGTTACTGAGTGTGTGGTGTGGCAGGCGTGAGGGAGGAGGCGGCGGAGCGCTGCACACCTCCACCACAGACCTCCTTGACGAGAGGAAACTCCAGTAACAAGGTTGAGAAACAGAGAAAATGATCAACTTGCCTGCCTCCTGACCTCTCTATAGTCCACACTCCCCAGTACCACCACGTATTCCCAACCTTAAGACCCACGCTTAATTCAATCAATAATATCATTTAAATTTTATACGGGTGCCGGGTAAGAAGTTATAATTACATAGAACTTTAATGAAGGTTCAGCATGCGATATAAAGCAGTTTGACATAGACGATAAATCTGGGAGAGGTGGCAGGGAGGTGGTGGCCTCTGGCGGCGGGCGGGCGAGACACCGTCCAGGGCGGGGCTTGGGGGTCTGGGCCGGGGGTGAAGGGGGGCCACACTCCCTACTACCGCCTTCCTCGGACCAAACTAGACGATAACAGCCGTACGCAAGACTCTACTCAAAAAGAACGCCGAGACACTGACGAAGATGATGAATGAGGAAAGGTAGAGGTCGGTGGCGACGTGCTGTGAGATAGGAGTGAGGGAGGCGAGGGAGGAATATCTACCCTGCCAGACCGCCAACACTACAGGCAACTGCTGCTCCTTATCTTAATGTCTATCTACTCTCCCTGAAGCGCGATTATGGCTGACGGGATGCGTCCTCAAGTGGCCCGTGATAACGCTCATCTCCCGCTGCCAGACGGGAAATGCAACGTGAGCCAAATGTAAATAAGAACAGAAATATGAGCGCGAGGAGGAGGGTGAGGAGGGAGAGAGGGAGCCGGGCGGCCGCCTCCACAGTGCCAACACCATCACTATACTTCCCAACTTTACGACTCTCTCCTCTCACTCATTCAACAGTTAACACTAATGACCTCTCACAGACCATGTGGTAGTCCGCCCGCCTGGCTCATAACCTCACCTCTATACACCAGCAAACGGTACTAATTACTGAAGGCGTTAATAAGAGCCAGTAATTAAAAGCCGACATTTTGTTGAACGCCAGATTCCCGCCGCCATTTTCCCCTCCGACACCAACAAAATTGCAATCGTGCACTTGTTTCGTTACAACATTAATTTAGAGGGAGTTAATTAGTGTCTTGTGCCATGGATCGCTATTGGCTCAGGACTTTGCAACGAGCTACGAGGGTTATATATATACAGTGATTGCAATGTCGGGGTCATGTGACCGCCATATGCAATATTGATGGTGTTGTTTGTATTCCGCCGCCACCTTGTGGACAGGCACTAGTTGTACACGTCACCTGTCACTCGTACACGTCACCTGTCACTTGTACACGTCACCTGTCACTTGTACACGTCACCTGTCACTTGTACACGTCACCTGTCACTTGTACACGTCACCTGTCACTTGTACACGTCACCTGTCACTTGTACACGTCACCTGTCACTTGTACACGTCACCTGTCACTCGTACACGTCACCTGTCACTCGTACACGTCACCTGTCACTTGTACACGTCACCTGTCACTCGTACACGTCACCTGTCACTCGTACACGTCACCTGTCACTTGTACACGTCACCTGTCACTCGTACACGTCACCTGTCACTCGTACACGTCACCTGTCACTCGTACACGTCACCTGTCACTTGTACACGTCACCTGTCACTTGTACACGTCACCTGTCACTTGTACACGTCACCTGTCACTCGTACACGTCACCTGTCACTCGTACACGTCACCTGTCACTCGTACACGTCACCTGTCACTCGTACACGTCACCTGTCACTTGTACACGCCCCCAGTACCTTACAAGCGCTCCCCAACCTCCCCTCACACCCCTCTCCCCCTCAACCACACCCCTCTCCCCCTCAACCACACCCCTCCCCCCCCTTAACCACACCCCTCCCCCTCAACCACACCCCCGTTACCAATAACCACCACACCAATACACTGGAGGAGCCCTAATGACCAGAAGTGTGGCGACGACCATTAGAGGCGTGGTACCAGGCCCCCCCCCCCCCCAACAGTGACCCGACACTTAACATTATTCCCAGATGAAATACTGACCAGAAATTCTTCCCCAATAATTGGAAAAATTGAGTATGTATGTATGTATGTATGTATGTATGTATGTATGTATGTATGTATGTATGTATGTATGTATGTATGTATGTATGTATGTATGTATGTGTATAGTTGTCTGTACGCATATGTATACGGGTATATATGTAAAGGTTTATGTATGAATAAGTCAATAAATAATAATAATAATATAACAAAGAGCCTTAAACAGAACAACATGTGTGGAAGCATCGGTGTGTGTATATATGAATGCTACACAGCATTCATCTATGGGCATCCATATATGGTGAAACACATGTGAAGAACCTCTCACACACTCACAGCTCCCTGACAAGAGGGAGCCAGCTTAGCTTAGCTGCCAACACCCACACATCGTGTCAGCAAGGCGGACAGCCCGCCTGCTTTCATACCTCTCACTGTATTTCCCACTTCTATACTTCCCTTCACCTATGTCTCTCCTTCCTCTTTACTCAAAAAAAAAATCCCTCTACCTCTCACTCATACCCCCCCCCCCCCTCACCAGGCGCCTGTATATCATCACCTCTCACCGTGAGGCACTCACAGTCCTCACCTGGCGTCCACCACTACACCCTACACAGTTATGACCAAATACATTCTCCTGTTCATTCCTACCAACGCGGCACTGTCTAATACCCGACTGTCAGAATACTACAACCACACCGCTCTACAATACACCACAACCACACAACTCTACAATAAACCACAACCACAATCGTTGGTTGTGGTTGTACACACAATACACCACAATGTTACAATACACCACACCACCACCAGGTACAACCGCCCAGGTCCTGTGGTGACCAGTGGAGGGGCTAGAAGGGCTGAGGAGCTCCAGTGGTGTTATTCATTTGGGTGGGATAGTCTGGCAACACCGCAGTGAAAAACTGTGCATGTGTGAACAAATACCTCACAAACTGACAAAAAAAAACTCACAAACTGACAAAAAAAAACTCAACACAAATAGACTGGACAAATAAGGATGCCACGGGTTGACATGGAGAGCAACACTGGTAGACGCGGCTCACATGGAGAGCAAGACTGGTAGACGCGGCTCACATGGAGAGCAAGACTGGTAGACGCGGCACACATGGAGAGCAAGACTGGTAGACGCGGCACACATGGAGAGCAAGACTGGTAGACGCGGCACACATGGAGAGCAACACTGGTAGACGCGGCACACATGGAGAGCAAGACTGGTAGACGCGGCACACACCAACACTTCTTGAAGCAACACATGACAGCACCAACAGGAGCGAGAGGAGACCATCCACCAGCAACACTATACTTGGTGTTTTCCCCCAAAATGAAGCAGATGTTGACAAACATGGAGGATGTGATGCCTCTAGGAGCCATATAGCCACCATTGTCATGCTGGAATACATAGTGGTGCTGAAGGAATTGGGTACACAAACAAACCCGTTGAAGAAGGAGAGAGATATTACAGATGTGAGGACTACAACAGCACAAGAGGACTTTCTGTGGGAAAGTCAATGGGAAAGGCTAATGGAAGGGAAGCTAGCAAACTAGATGATAGAATTCATTGGTGGGAAATGTGACGATGCGACCGAGAAGTTCATACCACTCAAGGAAGAAGTGTATTAAACAAATAAAGCAAATCCCTAATTCAACAGACAAGGCAGGGAAGCTAAAGAAAGAACAAGAAAACGACTGGAAAAAATACAGAGAACCGGGAACAGAGAACATAGGGGAGGCACTAAAGAGAACAACGAATAAATACGCCAAAATTAGTAGAGAAGCCGAGAGGCAATTTGAAAACGACATTGCTGTAAAAAACTGTTTTACAGCCGTATAAGGCGACAAAGGACAGTGCGGGACCATGTTCTCAGACTGAGGAAACAACGGGGAGCTCTCGTACAGAATGTCCAACCACTTGGACTGGACGGTAGAGCGACGGTCTCGCGTCATGCAGGTCGGCGTTCAATCCCTGACCTTTCAAGTGGTTGGGCACCATTCCTTACCCCCTCCCATCCCAAATCCTTACCCTGACTTTTCCAAGTGCTATATAGTCGTAGTGGGTTGGGGCTTTCCCCTGATAAGTCCCTCCCTCCCTCTCATACAGAATGACAAGGAACTATGTGAGGAACTCAGCATAAGATTTTTATGAGGTCTTTATATTAGAACCAGTGTAGAAACCAAGGCTGCAAGATGAAAGGTCAGAGGAAACACTGGATGGTATTATAGTCACTGTGGAAGAAGTGACAAAAATCCTGGAAGAACTAGCCGTGACAAAATCAATGGAGCCAGACCTAATCTCACCATGGGTGCTGAGGGAGGAGGCAGAAGCACTCTGTCACCTCATGTCTTACATTTTGAATAAAATGCTTGAGACAAGACGTCTCCCAGATGTCTGGAAAAAGACAAACGTAGTCCCAATATTCAAGAAAGAGGATAGAAAGGTGGGACTGAACTACAGACCAGTGTCATTGACAAGTGTTCCTGGTAAAGTGCTGGAGAAAGTCGAAGATGGTGGAGCATCTTGAGAGGAGCGACTTGTGACAACAAAAATCATCATGGATTTAGAAATGGAAAATCATATCAGACAAACTTGATGGAGTTTTATGACAAGGTTACTAAAATAAGGCAGGAAAAGGGAGGCTGGGTAGACTGTATTTTTCTAGACTGAGGGCATTTGACACTGTTCCCCATGAAAGACTGATGAACAGGATGGAGCACCAAGCTGGCATAACTGGGAAAACACTGAACTGAGAGAACACTGGACATTGAAAGAGAGAATCTGAAGGCAGAAAGCGGAGAGTCACAGTAAGAGAGGTTTCGAACTGGTGGAATGTAACAAGTCGGGTTCCACGAGGCTTTGTCCTGGGACCACTGCTGTTCTTAATTTATGAATATATTTATTTATTTATTGTTTGCAGATGATGCAAAGCTGATGAGAAACGAAAACAGATGAGGACTGCACAAAGTTACCGGAGGACTTTGACAAACTCCTGGAGTGGTCAGATAAATGGTTGCTGGAGTTCATTAGCAACAAGTGTAAGGTAATGAAGATGGATAAGGGAGAGAGGAGACCAGAAGGCAGCTATAGGAATCAGTAAGAGAGAAGGATCTGGGAGTGGATATAATTCCAATACTCACACTAGAGGTACACAAACAGAATAACATCGGCAGCATATGGGACGCTGACAAATATAAGTGCATGGTTTAGGAACCTGAATCAGGATTCCTTCAAAGCAATCTACACAACATTAGTTAGACCAGTACTGGAATGCGGCTCACCGGCATAGAATTCGCCGCTTTTGAAGCATGAAGCCAAAATGTAAAAAGTATAGAGATTTGCAACAAGATTGGCGCCAGAGCTAAGAGGGTTAAGCTACGATCATATGCTAATGGAACTAAATCTCACAGTCCTAGAGGATAGAAGGAACAGAGGGAGATATGATCACAGCTTACAAGATACTGAGGGGATAGATAAGGCGGACAAGGCTAGCTTCTTCAGATTGAGAGACAGTAGGACAAGAGGACACAGGTGGAAGTTGGAAACACAAATGAGCCAAAGCTACGTAAGAAAGTACTTGTACCCTGTACGGGTAGTTAACATGTGGCATCTTCTGCACGTGAAAATTGTGGAAGCCACCTCTAGCCACAACTATAATTGTAAGGCCTGAGTTGACAAAGAACGTGAAAGTCATGGTAGTTAAGATGTGGCACAAGCAGTACAAGGCTAGTAGGGCGGGGCATACTGAGCTAGACCTCACTCCCTCGTAGTCATTGATAGGTAAGTACCACTACAATACACCACAACCATACACCACAACCATACAATACACAACACCACAACCATACAATACACAACACCACAACCATACACCACACAACACCACAACCATACAATACACAACACCACAACCATACACCACACAACACCACAACCATACAATACACAACACCACAACCATACACCACACAACACCATAACCATACAATACACAACACCACAACCATACAATACACAACACCACAACCATACAATACACAACACCACAACCATACAATACACAACACCACAACCATACAATACACAACACCACAACCATACACCACACAACACCACAACCATACAATACACAACACCACAACCATACAATACACAACACCACAACCATACAATACACAACACCACAACCATACACCACACAACACCACAACCATACACCACACAACACCACAACCATACAATACACAACACCACAACCATACAATACACAACACCACAACCATACAATACACAACACCACAACCATACACCACACAACACCACAACCATACAATACACAACACCACAACCATACACCACACAACACCACAACCATACAATACACAACACCACAACCATACACCACACAACACCACAACCATACACCACACAACACCACAACCATACAATACACAACACCACAACCATACAATACACAACACCACCACCACACACCACACAGCACCACCACCACCACACAACACCACCACCACACACCACCACCACCACCACACAGCACCACACACCACCACCACACACCACCACACCACCACCACACCAACACCACCACACACCACACAACACCACCACCACACACCACCACCACACCACCACCACACAGCACCACCACACACCACCACCACCACACCACCACCACACCACCACACACCACCACCACCACACACCACACAACACCACCACCACACACCACCACCACACACCACCACCACCACACACCACACAACACCACCACCACACACCACCACCACCACACACCACACAACACCACCACCACACACCACACAACACCACCACCACACACCACCACCACACACCACCACCACCACACACCACACAACACCACACACCACACAACACCACCACCACACACCACACAACACCACCACCACCACACCAACACACACCACACAACACCACCACCACACACCACCACCACACACCACCACCACACACCACCACCACACACCACCACCACACACCACCACCACACCACCACACACCACACAACACCACCACCACACACCACACAACACCACCACCACCACACCAACACCACCACACACCACACAACACCACCACCACACACCACCACACACCACCACCACACAGCACCACACACCACCACCACACACCACCATCACACACCACCACCACACACCACACAACACCACCACCACACACCACCACACACCACCACCACACACCACACACCACCACCACACACCACCACACACCACACACCACACACCACCACCACACACCACCACCACACACCACCACCACACAGCACCACACACCACCACCACACACCACCATCACACACCACCACCACACACCACACAACACCACCACCACACACCACCACCACACACCACCACACACCACCATCACACACCACCACCACACACCACACAACACCACCACCACACACCACCACACACCACCACCACACACCACCACCACACACCACCACCACACACCACACACCACCACCACACACCACACACCACCACACACCACCACTACCAGTCGCCTGATAACCATATTGATCCACACCCCCTCACGATTGACACAACATTTTTTGACGAAGAGTGAAATTTGAGCTCAGTCCCCTTACCCAGGTCGTAGCCACAGTTCCCCGGACCCGAGACAAGGCCACAATTAGGTTGTTAGCTCGTACGTCTAACAGCCTCGTCCCACGTGCCGAGAATGTTGTGGAGATCATTAGCGCGAAAGAAAAGAACGCGAGACGCCAAAAACGCGATTTTAAAGTTCGATTAAATGATGGCTTCCAGAGGCGAAGAAGTTGGTTGGATCCCTTTTTAAAACACCAGCTTGGCCGCCCGGACGATACTACCTGGAAACTGCCACATTTTCGCAGATTTTGGCCAGGATTTCCTGGAATGTTGTAATGGAAGGGTGAGTGTGTGGAGCCTGGTGGCCAGGGCTCCAGGGTGTTGCTATGGGGCCCCTGCACCACACGCTACACGCACGCACGCACGCACACACAACAACAACACAACGAACTACTGGATTTTGAACACGTGATATATCATTAAGAAGTTTTCGCGTATGCACGTATTTGGGTGAGTGCGTTTGTGGGTGAGTGCGTTTGTGGGTGAGTGCGTTTGTGGGTGAGTGTGTTTGTGAGTGTGCGCGCTTGTACTCACCTAATTGCACTCACCTAATTGTGCTTGCGGGGGGTGAGCTCTGGCTCTTTGGTCCCGCCTCTCAACTGTCAATGAACAGGTGTTCCTGAGCCTATTGGGCTCTATCATATCTACACTTGAAACTGTGTATGGAGTCAGCCTCCACCACATCACTTCCTAATGCATTCCATTTGTCAACCACTCTGACACTAAAAAAGTTCTTCCTAATATCTCTGTGGCTCATTTGGGCACTCAGTTTCCACCTGTGTCCCCTAGTGCGTGTGCCCCTTGTGTTAAATAGCCTGTCTTTATCTACCCTATCGATTCCCTTGAGAATCTTGAATGTGGTGATCATGTCCCCCCCTAACTCTTCTGTCTTCCAGCGAAGTGAGGTATAATTCCCGTAGCCTCTCCTCGTAGCTCATACCTCTCAGCTCGAGTACTAGTCTGGTGGTAAACCTTTGAACCTTTTCCAGTTTGGTCTTATCCTTGACTAGATATGGGGCTGCATACTCCAGGATTGGCCTGACATATGTGGTACACAAAGTTCTGAATGATTCTTTACGCAAGTTTCTGAATGCCGTTCTTATGTTGGCTAGCCTGGTATATGCCGCTGATGTTATCCTCTTGATATGGGCTGCAGGGGACAGGTCTGGCGTGATATCAATCCCCATGTCTTTTTATCTCTCTGACTCTTGAAGAATTTCATCTCCCAGATGATACCTAGTATCTGGCCTCCTGCTCCCTACGCCTATCTTCATTACATTACATTTGCTTGGATTAAACTAACAATCATTTGTTCGACCATTCCTGCAGCTTGTCCAGGTCTTCTTGAAGCCTCAAGCAGTCCTCCTCTGTCTTAATCCTTCTCATAATTTTGGCATCGTCCGCAAACATTGAGAGAAATGAATCTATACCCTCCGGGAGATCATATACATATATCAGAAACAAGATAGGACCGAGTACAGAGCCCTGTGGGACTCCACTGGTGATTTCACGCCAATCTGAGGTCTCACCCCTCACTGTAACTCTCTGCTTCGTATTGCTTAGATACTCCCTTATCCACTGGAGCACCTTACCAGCTACACCTGCCTGTCTCTCCAGCTTATGTACCAGCCTCTTATGCGGTACTGTGTCAAAGGCTTTCCGACAATCCAAGAAAATGCAGTCCGCCCAGCCCTCTCTTTCTTGCTTAATCTTAGTCACATGGTCGTAGAATTCTTTTAAGCCAGTAAGGCAAGATTTACCCTCCCTGAACCCATGTTGGCGATTGGTCACGAAGTCCCTTCTCTCCAGATGTGTTACTAGGTTTTTTCTCACGATCTTCTCTATCACCTTGCATGGTATACAAGTCAAGGACACTGGTTCAGTGTGTGTGTGTGTGTGTGTGTGTGTGTGTGTGTGTGTGTGTGTGTGTGTGTGTGTGTGTGTGTGTGTGTGTGTGTGTGTTTGTGATTGTGTGTACTCACTTAGTTGTGCTTGCGGGGGTTGAGCTCTGGCTCTTTGGTCCCGCCTCTCAACTGTCAATCAACTGGTGACTCCCACCAGCGAGTGTGTGTGAGAGAGTGTGAGTGTGAGCGTGAGCGTGAGTGTGAGTGTGAGCGTGAGTGTGAGTGTGAGCGTGAGTGTGAGCGTGAGTGTGAGCGTGAGTGTGAGCGTGAGCGTGAGGGTGAGTGTGAGTGAAACCGTGAGCGTGCCGTGCGCGGCCACTGCGTACAGCTAATATTAACAATAAAGAAAATAAAAGAGAAATTAAAAACTTGAGAAAGAGAAAGTGAGTCGTAAACTGATAAAAGGAAAACCCCACAAAATATTAACAACCAGAAGGTAGAAGTGAGGAAGAGGCACACAAAGCGAGCCCCCGTCAACCCCTACCTCGTCAACTCCAGCTCTCCCCGTCAGCCCCTACCTTGTCAACTCCAGCTCTCCCCGTCAGCCCCTACCTCGTCAACTCCAGCTCTCCCCGTCAGCCCCTACCTCGTCAACTCCAGCTCTCCCCGTCAGCCCCTACCTGGTCAACTCCAGCTCTCCCCGTCAACCCCTACCTGGTCAACTCCAGCTCTCCCCGTCAACCCCTACCTGGTCAACTCCAGCTCTCCCCGTCAACCCCTACCTGGTCAACTCCAGCTCTCCACGTCAGCCCCTACCTCGTCAACTCCAGCTCTCCCCGTCAGCCCCTACCTGGTCAACTCCAGCTCTCCCCGTCAACCCCTACCTGGTCAACTCCAGCTCTCCCCGTCAACCCCTACCTGGTCAACTCCAGCTCTCCCCGTCAGCCCCTACCTCGTCAACTCCAGCTCTCCACGTCAACCCCTACCTGGTCAACTCCAGCTCTCCCCGTCAGCCCCTACCTCGTCAACTCCAGCTCTCCACGTCAACCCCTACCTGGTCAACTCCAGCTCTCCCCGTCAGCCCCTACCTCGTCAACTCCAGCTCTCCACGTCAACCCCTACCTGGTCAACTCCAGCTCTCCCCGTCAACCCCTACCTGGTCAACTCCAGCTCTCCCCGTCAACCCCTACCTGGTCAACTCCAGCTCTCCACGTCAACCCCTACCTGGTCAACTCCAGCTCTCCCCGTCAGCCCCCTACCTGGTCAACTCCAGCTCTCCCCGTCAACCCCTACCTGGTCAACTCCAGCTCTCCACGTCAACCCCTACCTGGTCAACTCCAGCTCTCCACGTCAACCCCTACCTGGTCAACTCCAGCTCTCCCCGTCAACCCCTACCTGGTCAACTCCAGCTCTCCCCGTCAGCCCCTACCTGGTCAACTCCAGCTCTCCACGTCAACCCCTACCTGGTCAACTCCAGCTCTCCACGTCAACCCCTACCACGTCAACTCCAGCTCTCCACGTCAGCCCCAACCTCGTCAACTCCAGCTCTCCACGTCAATAAATGATTTCAACTGCCACACCCCCACGTCAACCCTCCGTCAACACCCTAACGTAGTGTCTCTCACACCCTCACAACCTCTCATGTCAGTCACATCCCCAACCCTTGCCTCTCACCCTCCCCCTCCGTGTCAATCAACCCCAAAGATTCCCCTCTACAACACCTAGGGCAACCTCTCTTACCACCACCCACCTCTGCCCTTCACCACCCCGTCAACCCCACCTCTGCCCTTCACCACCCCGTCAACCCCCCCTCTACAACCCCCTACCTCCGCCCCCTCCCCTAAAGCTTGGGGGGCAGGAAGGAGAGGTCGCCACCCAGCTAAGCAATGTCAAAGCAAAAGTCGTGATCTCCTTTGATGTTAAATTAGATGTCATAAAGACGCCGTCCACTGGAGAGCGGTGTCCACCGCCGTCCGCTCCCCCTCCCACACTTCTCTTCAGTCTTCCACGGCAAGCTGAGGTCCGCCGCTGATGTCTAGAGCACGCTGACGCCTCCCAGGCTCACCCCCACCAGGAGAGTCACAACCTCTCCCACCAGTAGCCCCACAATTCACCCACCAGCAGCCCCACAACCTCAGAGATACCAAATAATATACACATGGAAAATACTGGAGGGCCATCCCAAATCTACACAGTAAAATAACAACGTACTGGAGTGAACGACATGGAAGAAAATGCAGAATAGAGCCAGTGAAGAGCAGAGGTGCCATAGGCACAATCAGAGAACACTGTATAAACATCAGAGGTCCGCGGTTGTTCAACGTCCTCCCAGCGACTATAAGAAATATTGCCGGAACAACCGTGGACATCTTCAAGAGAAAACTAGATAGTTTTCTTGAAGGAGTGCCGGACCAACCGGGCTGTGGTGGGTATGTGGGCCTGCGGGCCGCTCTAAGCAACAGCCTGTTGGACCAAACTCTCACAAGTCAAGCCTGGCCTCGGGCCGGGCTTGGGCAGTAAACTCTCAGAACCTCATCCAGGTACAAACCAGGTAGCACCACAACCTCGCCCACCAGGAAGGAAGGGGAGGGAGGGAGGGGTAATAAGGGAAAGGTGGATAGGAAGGGTTGGGTGAGTAGGAAGAAGGGAGGGGAAGGTAGGAGAAAAGGTGAGTTAGTAAATAGGGGTGAGACTAAAGAATGGGGAGTAGGTATGAGGGGGGAGGAAGAGAGAGTGCGTTGGAGAGAGGAGTGGAAGCTAGAAAAGGAGCGAGGGGATGGGCAGAAGAGAGGGGAAAGGGAAGGGGAGGGATGGAGGGACAGGAGAAGGGAGAGGAAAGGAGGAGGAAGGGAAGGGAGAGGAGGATAAGAAGTGGAGGAAGGAACGAGAGAAGGGAGAGGAAGGAAAAAGGGTAGGAGGGAGGGAGGGGAGTGTACGTTTTAGAAGTGAGGGAAGGATGGATTTGGGGGGTTGGAGAGATGGAGGGGAGGAGGGAAGGAAGGGGAGTGTAGGTGGGAGAGAGTTTAGGATAAGGAGGAAGGTAGGGGAGGGGAGGGGAAGGGAAGGGAAGGGAGGGGAGGGGTAGAGGACAGGAAGGGAAGGGTAGGAGGAAGGATGACTGGCGAGGAGCCTTGTAATGGTGGCTAACGAGACGAGATGGGGAGGCTGAGGTGGTAATGGATGGACGGCGTGAGGGGAGGACCTGCGAGACTCTCACACTGGCGGCAACCACCTCACGAAGGGCTTACCCTCTCCTGGGGCGTCGCCGGCACCACCACCGCCAGGCTGTGTGTGTGGGCGGGGAGGTGGTGAGCGTGTGGGCGGGGTGGTGGTGAGTGTGTGGGCGGGGTGGTGGTGAGTGTGTGGGCCGGGTGGTGGTGAGTGCGTGGGCGGGGTGGTGGTAAGTGTGTGGGCGGGGTGGTGGTGAGCGTGTGGGCGGGGTGGTGGTGAGCGTGTGGGCGGGGTGGTGGTGAGTGTGTGGGCGGGGTGGTGGTGAGTGTGTGGGCGGGGTGGTGGTGAGTGTGTGGGCGGGGTGGTGGTGAGTGTGTGGGCGGGGTGGTGGTGTAAGATTGGGGTGGTGGTGTGTGTGTGGGCGGTCGGTGCAGTGTGTAATGTTATGTACGCTAGCTTAGATTAGGCTGGGCTGGGCTTGGCTGGGCTAGGCTGGGCTTGGCTGGGCTGGGCTAGGCTGGGCTAGGCTGGGCTTGGCTGGGCTGGGCTAGGCTGGGCTTGTAAAATCCCATTTGTAATGTCACCAGATGTAGTGACTGATTACGGTCAACACCACTCTTACCATTTATAATGATGTCAACCTTACCTTCACCAATTTGTAACAATAATAATTATCCTTAACATTTCATATATGCAACATGGAAACCAACTGGCGAGCACCCTTGGCGTACCAGGTCCGCCAAGGTGCATAGCGCTCCTGGCTATCTGGGTTCGAATCCATCTGGGGTGTAAAGTTTTCAGTTTTATATATATATATATATATATATATATATATATATATATATATATATATATATATATATATATATATATATGTCGTACCTAGTAGCCAGAACGCACTTCTCAGCCTACTATGCAAGGCCCGATTTGCCTAATAGGCCAAGTTTTCATGAATTAATTGTTTTTCGACTACCTAACCTACCTAACCTAACCTAACCTAACTTTTTCGGGTACCAAACCTAACCTATAAAGATAGGTTAGGTTAGGTTAGGTAGGGTTGGTTAGGTTTGGTCATATATCTACGTTAATTTTAACTCCAATAAAAATTTTTTACCTCATACACAATGAAATGGGTAGCTTTATCATTTCATAAGAAAAAAAATTAAAGAAAATATATTAATTCAGGAAAACTTGGCTTATTAGGCAAATCGGGCCTTGCATAGTAGGCTGAGAAGTGCGTTCTGGCTACTAGGTACGACATATATATACATATATATTATATATATATATTATATAATATATATATATATATATATATATATATATATTATATATTACTATATTTTGGTAGCAGTCTTTCCTGTAGACATATATTATTAAATATGACCGAAAAAGAAAGATTAATAATTCTAACACGAATTTTCTCAATGTTTCTTACATTTTTTTTCACTGTTGATGGTAACTGAAAAATCAATTCTCCAAAATTCAAAAATAAAAATGAATTTTGGAGAATTGATTTTTTCAGTTACCATCAACAGTGAAAAGAAATGGAAGAAACATTGAGAAAATTCGTGTTAGAATTATTATTCTTTCTTTTTCGGTCATATTTAATAATTATATATATATATATATATATATAAATTTGTGAGGGTACCACCTTTGGTGCCAATGTGGGGACCCATAGCCTCGGAGAAGAAAATAAAAAGTATTCAGAGGAGACCTTGTGGTTTCTCACTGAACACTAATACTATCTTCTCCTACCAACCCCATTCTTTTGTATGTGCACATATATATTTGTTTTATTTGAACTGTCACAAAAAAGGAGTTACATATAGGGGTACAAAGATGGTTATCATAGGTTGTCGAGTTCCTCCAGCTCCTCAGATGGCGGGCAGGAACCCTGAATGCAGTGCGCATTTCCCCTCTATATCGCCACGCGCACGTGTAGTCCCATACCAACTGCTTGCCATTCTTCCAGGGATTCACTGTGACACCATCCGGCCAAGAAATTTATATTATATATATATATATATATATATATATATATATATATATATATATATATATATATATATATATATATGACCGAAAAAGTAAGATTAATAATTCTAACACGAATTTTCTCAATCTTTCGTACATTTCTTTTCACTGTTGGTGGTAATTCAAAAATCAATTCTCCAAAATTCATTTTTATTTCTAGTCTGACGCGACACTTGAGCGCGTTTCGTAAAACTTATTACATTTTCAAAGACTTTAGTTAACACATACACAACTGAATAGAACTTACACATCTCCGATTTGTTTATATCTACATTTGAGTGAGGTGGATGGGGTGAGGTGGTATTAATAGGGTATTAATTTCATCAACACAAGACAGAACACGAAACAATGGGTATTGAATGGAAGTGATTGTAGAAAGCCTATTGGTCCATATTTCTTGATGCTTCTATATTGGAGCGGAGTCTTGAGGTGGGTAGAATATAGTTGTGCATTAGTTGGCTGTTGATTGCTGGTGTTGACTTTTTAATGTGTAGTGCCTCGCAAACGTCAAGCCGTCTGCTATCGCTGTATCTATCGATGATTTCTGTGTTGTTTACAAGGATTTCTCTGGCGATGGTTTGGTTGTGGGAAGAGATTATATGTTCCTTAATGGAGCCCTGTTGCTTATGCACCGTTAAACGCCTAGAAAGAGATGTTGTTGTCTTGCCTATATACTGGGATTTTTGGAGCTTACAATCCCCAAGAGGGCATTTGAAGGCATAGATGACGTTGGTCTCTTTTAAAGCGTTCTGCTTTGTGTCTGGAGAGTTTCTCATGAGTAGGCTGGCCGTTTTTCTGGTTTTATAGTAAATCGTCAGTTGTATCCTCTGATTTTTGTCTGTAGGGACAACGTTTCTATTAACAATATCTTTCAGGACCCTTTACTCCGTTTTATGAGCTGTGGAAAAGAAGTTCCTGTAAAATAGTCTAATAGGGGGTATAGGTGTTGTGTTAGTTGTCTCTTCAGAGGTTGCATGGCGTTTCACTTTCCTTCTTATGATGTCTTCGATGAAACCATTGGAGAAGCCGTTGTTGACTAGGACCTGCCTTACCCTACAGAGTTCTTCGTCGACTTGCTTCCATTCTGAGCTGTGGCTGAGAGCACGATCGACATATGCGTTAACAACACTCCTCTTGTACCTATCTGGGCAGTCGCAGTTGGCATGTAGGCACATTCCTATGTTCGTTTCCTTAGTGTAGACTGCAGTGTGGAAACCTCCGCTCTTTTCCATGACTGTTACATCTAGAAAGGGCAGCTTCCCATCCTTTTCCATCTCGTAAGTGAAACGCAGCACAGAACTCTGCTCAAACGCCTCCTTCAGCTCCTGCAGATGTCTGACATCAGGTACC